AAATATAGGATGTTAAACCAATTTCCATTGATAACCATCGTATAGTAATTCATTTAATTTGTTAGACAATTTTAATTTAACCTGTTAATCTGGGGCAACACTCAAACACATCAAAAAAATTCTAAATTGTCAAACTAAACATTTCTTAAAACTCGTTCCCTTGACATCCATTTTAAATATTTCATACAACTTGGGTATAAAATAATTTAATCAACTTCTCAAATATGTGACAACCCTCTTCAAAATATTTCCAAACTACTACCTTCTTAAACCTCTTTTATCTGACACCCATATAGTGATGCCTTATTCACTTACCAAATTCCTTAAATTGAAATTGAATTATATTTTTTAAACATGTGGCAACCCTCCTACACGTAGTTAAGATATAAAGGCTTTTCAAAACCATTTCGTTTGATACCTATATTGGAACAATTGATTTATCTTTTTAAATAATTTGTCCCTAATTTCATAACTGGTGGCAACTCTTTTCGAAAAAGTAAAACAATATTGAACACCCGCACCTTAAGCCCTTTAATTTGACACCTGACTATTGAAAATCGAACGAACGGTACGGATCTGATGGTATTGAATATTATAAAGTTGAATTAAATAGTTCAACAGGTGGCACGCTTTTCGAAAACATAAAACCAGTTTGCACATCTACAGGCCAAGCGCTTTAATTTGACACCCCATTTTTGAAAATCGAACGAACGGTGCAGATATTTTATGCTGCACAAAAAATGCCTTCGTGTATTATATATATAGATATCTTCTTTTAAAAATGCGCAGGCCCTCCTTGTCCGCCCCACCCCTAAATCGTTGTACAAATAGCTAAAGATTTCCCGGTATTTTGATTCTAACAGTGAAGACCCCAACCCGCGCGTAATTTGTTGTTAACGTTGCGAAATCCACCAAATATGTTGATGCAAATAGCATAAATTTTATCATCAAAAGTGCGTGAAATAGATAAATGTGGCTTAATTGTACACACTTTTAATGCACATAACCATTTTCTTTTAAGTAATATGGTATTTTTGTTAATTTAAGCACGATAAAACATTTGTAAAAGTAGTGAAGTAGTAAACATGCGAGGGTTGCAACTGAGCACCGAAGTTGCTGCTGCCAGACGAATTTAATAATGTCAAAAGCAATATCGCAGAACTTTTGACTCCATATTTTAGGTTTATGAAATATTGACTCTATTACAAAAACCATAGCACCGCAGGCGAAAATTTGGGATAAAAAATCCCGCATCACAAAGTATAATTCTCTTTCTGTTTTGCGAAGAAAAGGGGCTGACGACCTTTTGCAGAGAACACCTTTCTGCATAGGCGGCTTTCGGCCGCGCTTAGGGATTATAACCCTCGCAAAGTAGAATTCTCATTCTGTTTTGCGAAGAAAAGGGGCTGAACACCTTTTGCAGAGAACACCTTTCTGCGTAGGCGGCCTTCGGCCGCGCTTAAGGATTATAACCCTCACAAAGTAGAATTCTCTTGCTGTTTTGCGAAGAAAAAGGGCTGACCGCATTTTGCAGAGATCACCTTTCTCAGTATTTTTGCGTATCTGAGTATTTTTGCGCCTTCGGCCGCGCTTCAGGATCATAACCCTTAATATGTAGAATTCTTTCTGTATATGCAGGACTTTTTCTTAAAGGTATATAACATTTGTTCTTTTTTATGTATTTTTTTCTTCCGTTATACAAATAATTGAATCTTAATGGCGTGTGGTAAAAGATTTTTATTATGTATTTTTCAAAGAAAAACATAAATTTTTGATAAAAAAAATTGCCATAATTGAAAATTTTTTTAGGGGTTGTTATTTAAAAAGCACATATTCAAACCTACCCTTATGTTGTGGAGGTCATTATGAAATATAAGTTGGGTATTTTAGTGTCCTTAGGTTTCCAACATCTGGTAGCACCCTTCTTTTCGGGTAATACAGCCATTTTGCTTGTTTACTTTGTTGAAGAAAAGTAGTGAAATGGTTAAACGCGTTTTATATTGTTAAAAATAAAATAAGATACATTTAATGTACACAAATCACACGTGAACATTGAAATGATCGTGTATTTATGCAAGTGCAAGTGATAGCTGCACCTTTTATATGAAAATTTGCTAATGGAAGTGCAAAAAATTTGAACAACAAATTACTTAACTACTAGTATTAAAAGAGTAAAAATAGTGAGAATTTATGTAATTACATCTGTCTCTTAGCATCCTCGTAAAGTTTCATGAGAAAATTCGTTATAGTTTTGCTAAAACACACACTTGTCGAAGTGCACTTAAGTCAAGCCCTGTGGAGTTCTGCAGTAAACGCTTTGTCGATAGCGACATGATTTCTTTGAACGCGTCAGCGACATCATGAATTTATATGAGTTTGACATAAAAGAAGAGAAGAAAACTTATCTGTCGGTGGAAAAATAGAAATAGATCTAATCTGGCTACAACCACAGTCGTCGCAAAATAATTATCTACGTAAGAATACGTGGAAAAATAATTTCACAGCTGTGGGTCCGTAGCTCGTCGTTTTCATTGTGTTGGGACTAGAAGGCCCGCCCCTCCGGAGACATAGTTTTTAAGCAATTTACATTAAAAATTGCAAAAATACCAAATTCAACCTCATTTTTACCTTCCTTTTATTAGCTCGTGATGTAACTATGTAATATTGATGCGCCTAAAAGATGCAGCGATTTCTATACTCAAGTTACATACCTGATGACAATACGAATGGCAATTATAATAGGGAGGTTTTAGTTTTTTAAACTATAATTTTGTTTCCTTTGTACACCAATTGAACTGAAATGTCGTTCTGCCATACATAACGAAAAATGCCGAAATACACAAAACGGAAGCAATAATAAAATGACGTAATGACCGCGCAACTTAAAAAAATTGTTCATTATTTATAGAATTATCGGTTTTATAATAAAAAGCGCCGCAGGGGTTGGCTTTCCAGAACCGAACCAATCGACATTTCAGCGAAAGTATCAGGAGTTTCGTCATGAAACTTGGTGAGGATGTTGGGGGAGGCTTTCTCTCTCTCTTGTGTGATATACTATATTTTCAATGTTCATGTACGTATTTTATACTTTTAATATATATATCCATCAATTAATTAAGTAAAACGCGTTTATAAATTCGTCCACGCGTTTTAGCACTTTTTACAAACAAACAGAAATAACAATGGCCGACAATAAGAGAAAATGTGTGCTGCCATACTTCTCGACGCTATAAAAAACACTTGCACTTAGAAATCACTGGGGCGACAGCCCAGGTTTACCACACAGAAAGGGAATTCTAGTTACCTCATCCTTTGCCAAGGCTACATCACTGGGGCGGTAGCCCCAGTTGATGCACACCAAAAGGAGAATTCTATTTGGTAAGGGTTATAATCCTAAAGCGCGGCCGAAGGCCGCCTACGCAGAAAGAAATTCTACGCAACAATACTGTGGACGCAAGTAAAAATAGACATACGCACATCAAACGAAAGGGAAATTTTCTATTTTAATATTTTTTTTTGTAACTTTAAATGCGAATTACTTAAAACTATAAGCCTTCGGAGGGTGGGGTCTTCAGATTTAGAATCTGAAAAAGCTCCTCTATATTCCCTAATATTTTTTTCCAAAGCCTGGATCCGTTTTGGAAAATTAAAAAAAAAAAAATAGGATGGGAAGGGTGTAGAGGGTGTCCCCCTGATTGTAAATTTGAAAGTTCTGAACACATTGAAAACGACGAGCTACGGGCAACAGTTTCAAATATGTTATCTTCGTTATCTAAGGGCCTGTCCACAGGAAAACACTGATGTCGTGATAACCATGTCACAAAATATGCTTTGGGAAAATTTTCCTTAAATTCGGTCCAAATTTCAAAAAAAAAAATGAGGCCCTATAAAGGAGCTTTTTACGATTCTAAAAGTGAAAACTCCAGAGCGCGGAGGCTTTTATTTAAAAAGTTAGTAGCTTTTAAAGGTGCACAATTCTCCATAAAAATTTCATTGATAACATAGAAGTTGTGGAAAGGAACACAGATATTGGTGCTACCAGATGATGAGAATAGTAAAAAAGTGGGGGTTTTTGTATTCACCTTGTATTTAAATACTGTTTTATATAAAAAAGCGACGCAGGACAAGTATTGATTTTAATAAAAATTTTAATTTATCGCATTATCGATTTTCATAAGAAAGCGCCGCAGCCGAAAATTTATCATTATTTATTTATCGAAGTATTGTTTTTTTTTTTTTAAGCGCCCGACCACCTAGGCCCCCTATGGGGCCAAAAATTAAGATTTTTACTTGCGTCCACAGTATTTTGCGTAGAATTCCTTTCTGCGTTGGCCGCGCTTTAGGATTATAACCCTTACCGAATAGAATTCTCAATCACGAAATTCATGATAGTTTGGTGAAAATAGCCAAAAACCGATGCAATGGAAAGGCAACTCCATATTTTCAATGGAGACCGCCTATTTCCCATGATAATTTTTTTATAGATAGCAATTTGATAGTTTTACAGCCATATTTGCATTTGAAAGAAAGCGTGCTGGTGGTAACATCGATGAAATTTTGATATTAAATTAAAATATGAATGTGTTTCCTATTGGATTATTTATGATTGCGTTTTATGAAATTATTCAGCAATTTTTTTAAGATTTAAATGTTTTTAAACACCGAAATTTTGAGAATATTGTCTTGTGGCGTCATGCGGCAAGTGCTTATTTCAAGACATCAAAGTGCCCACACATAAAAACTTGCAATCATATTGCTCGTCAAAATGACAGTTGGTAGGCCATCGGTGTTTGCCTGTGGAGGGGAAAATTTTAGTGAAATTGGACAGGAAAAAAAAAAAAATTGGAAGGGGGGGCGCGGTCTAGGGGGTATTTTGGGTACTCTTTATGAATTTGTACAACGATTTTGCGTTGCTGTGCCCAAACGCGTGAATCGAATCAAAAACCTTTTACACACACTTGTAGACAACAGTGTCACAAAAATTTAATTTAATAAATCTGTCCACTAAATTAACAATAATGTCGGAAATATGGTATTTGTTGCAAATTTCCGAAATATACGTACACTGATTACTCTTATTCTGCCTTTAAGCAGCCACTTAATATCTTCATTTTTATGTTTATATTTACTTTACACATCACACTATTAGTTGTTAGTTGTTTTATTCCTTTAGTTGAAACTTATTCGTCGCAATTTATTAACTAAAATTGCTATGAAAATCACCCATGCGCCTGTGATTGTATATGCAAATTAAATGACGGAGCTGAGCTGTCAAACACACAATATATACACGAAGGATAAAGACAAAAGAAAATAAGCAAAAACCCCAGGTTTACTACACTGAAAGGGAATTCTAGTTACCTCATCCTTTCTAAAGGCTTACTGGGCGGTAGTCCCAGTTGGTGTGCACCAAAAGGAGAATTCTATTTGGTAAGGGTTATAATCCTAACGCGGCCGAAGGCCGCCTACGCATAAAGGCGTCTAAAAGCTAAACAACTTTTTAAATTATACAGGGTGTCCCAGAACTCAACGTCAAGCCGAAACGGGGTGACAGGATTGATTGTAACCATCATGAGAAAAATCAGAAAAAAAGTCTATCCTATGCAGTTTGAAAATTATGGGCATTTAAGAAAAACCTAGAAATTTGGTCAAACTGTAACCATTTTTCGGATACTGTGGTTAATTTTTATTATTTTTGTTCATTTAAAATTTGGATCCTTAACCCTAAATAACATTTCTAGAACCTAAGTAAAAAATAATGACACAATTTCCCCAAGTTTTCTAGAATTAAGACTATTTGTTAAACTATGAATTTAAATTTTTTATAATTTGTCGACTTTGAAAGGCCCTCCTTTCAAAAAAATGTACTAAAGTGCCTTGGCAAGTGCCATTAAAAGTTCGCGCATTTAATCAGGATTGTAAAATGGTACAATACTTCTTAGTTTCATACTAAAAAAACGAGTAAAAAATAAAAACCTCAAGTAACCCGATTTTTGCTAACCCATTTTACTCAGTTCAAATGTTTTGTATTCGCACAAGCTCTTGGTAAGTTCTTAATTTTACGGCAAAATGATGAGAGAGATGGATAGTGGATATGTTTGCCATGAGCGAGCGAGACAGATAGTGACGCCACTTTTACCAAAGTCAACAAAGGTAAGTAAAATTAATAAAATAATGAAAAATCTTGACTTGGGTTTAGTTTAGGTTTATTGGAATAAAAGTCAGATAGGGAAACAACATTTTTTATTACAATAAATGTTTAAATTGTTTACCATCAGCCTCAATACACGCCCTACATCTTCTTAAAAAAGATCTACTTATTAGCCGGGCATATCCTCGAAAGTGGATGTCCTCAGAAGCTTGAGAAATTCGTTCACGCAGCTCGGCTACGCTCTCAATAGGCTTTGAATAAACTTTTTCTTTGAGAACGCCCCAATAAAAAAATCCAGGGGATTTAAATCTGGGGAACGGGCTGGCCACAAGATAGTGCCTGAACGTCCAATCCACCTTCCTGGATATTCCTGGCCAAGGAAATCTCTTACTTGCACTGCGTAATGCGCTGGACAGCCATCTTGTTGATACCACATGTGGCGACGATCTGTCAGTGGTATGTCCTCTAACAAAGTTGGTAAATTTTCTCGTAAAATACGTAGGTAATTCGTGCCATTCAAGTTCTCAGGCAGGTCTAAAGGCCCAATAAATTTGCCGTTTAAAATTCCGGTCCACAGGTTTACTTTAAAGCGATACTGGGATCTGTCTTCTCGCATTAAATGTGGATTCGCCACATGCCACTCGTGAAAATTGTGTAAGTTTATGTAACCATCTTTTTTAAATGTAGATTCATCTGACCAGAGAATTTTCTGGATGAATTGGGGATTTTCATTATGCCTCTAGCATTGTTCTACAAAATGAAATCCTTTCAGGATAATCTCGAGGAAGAAGACTCTGAACTCGTTGTACGTGAAACGGATGCATTTCGGCTCTTTGTAAAATACGATGTGCTGTGCTTTTGGGTATTCCCGTTCCTTCTTCAATTCCACGAACGGAAATACTTATGTCATCTGCGACCTCTTGCAACACTTCTTCCTCGTAAGGAAAGCGAGCTCTACCTCCAGCCTGTATTTGATTCGGGAAATGGCCGCCCTCTGTGAGTGAACGGTGCACATTAACAAACACGCGGTGATCCGGATAGCGCTCTAAATTTGGATATCTTTCCCGATAAAGTCTAGCGGCGGCACTTACGTTGCATCTGCATTCTCCATAAATGAGGTGCATGTTCGCATATTCTTGTGAAGTGTAGCGCGTAGGCATGGTAGATAACAAGGATGCCAACAAAAGTCCAATTCCAAAAGAGAGAAGCCAAAGTTGCCGGTATATAATCAACAAGTCCAATTCACAAAAATCCAAGTCCAAAAAGCCAATGTTGTCAGTACTAAATCAACACAAGCGAATACGGAAAGGTGCGCTGTAGACGAATGAGCGAAACGTACTAACTACAGTGTTGCCGTTGNTGGATTCGCCACATGCCACTCGTGAAAATTGTGTAAGTTTATGTAACCATCTTTTTTAAATGTAGATTCATCTGACCAGAGAATTTTCTGGATGAATTGGGGATTTTCATTATGCCTCTAGCATTGTTCTACAAAATGAAATCCTTTCAGGATAATCTCGAGGAAGAAGACTCTGAACTCGTTGTACGTGAAACGGATGCATTTCGGCTCTTTGTAAAATACGATGTGCTGTGCTTTTGGGTATTCCCGTTCCTTCTTCAATTCCACGAACGGAAATACTTATGTCATCTGCGACCTCTTGCAACACTTCTTCCTCGTAAGGAAAGCGAGCTCTACCTCCAGCCTGTATTTGATTCGGGAAATGGCCGCCCTCTGTGAGTGAACGGTGCACATTAACAAACACGCGGTGATCCGGATAGCGCTCTAAATTTGGATATCTTTCCCGATAAAGTCTAGCGGCGGCACTTACGTTGCATCTGCATTCTCCATAAATGAGGTGCATGTTCGCATATTCTTGTGAAGTGTAGCGCGTAGGCATGGTAGATAACAAGGATGCCAACAAAAGTCCAATTCCAAAAGAGAGAAGCCAAAGTTGCCGGTATATAATCAACAAGTCCAATTCACAAAAATCCAAGTCCAAAAAGCCAATGTTGTCAGTACTAAATCAACACAAGCGAATACGGAAAGGTGCGCTGTAGACGAATGAGCGAAACGTACTAACTACAGTGTTGCCGTTGCAGCGTCAGACTGGTAGCGTAGCCATTTGCTTGGTATGGCGACTGTATCTGTTTCATTCGCACGCGTTTAAACGACGCATCTCCGTCTCATTGCGTGGCGTCACTATCTGTCTCACTCGCTCATGGCAAACATGTCCACTATACATCTCTCTCATCATTTTGCCGTAAAATTAAGAACCTACCAAGAGCTTGTGCGAATAAAAAACATTTGAACTGAGTAAAATGGGTTAGCAAAAATCGGGTTACTTGAGATTTTTATTTCTTTACTCGTTTTTTTTTTTTTGTATGAAACTAATGATTTGCTTGACCTTGGTTTATCGGTCCAAACAGGAATCTTTATTTACGGTTGATGGATAGCTCGTTTCCAATGGATGGTGGCAAGAAAGTGGCTGACTTACGTGTAATGATTTTGTATTACCGGCTTATGGTGACTCAATTGCTGTTAAATGAATAGTCCAGATTTGATGCTCACAACTTCTTTATTATACGCAACAACATGGCTGGGGATTTGCCGGAAGGAATCACCATCAATCCATATCAAGTATTTATTGGTCCGCTTGCTGGGGTCTGAGCTCAGTGAACGAGAAATTCAGCTTTTTAAATGAGATCGTTTTATATCTGTATAGTACTCACGTTCCAACTCGCACTTACCATGGTAGATCTCCCTCGTGCCCTTGGTTCAATAAATCGGTTCGGGCGATGATTGTAAAGCGAAATAAAAGATATTCTCTCTGGAAAAAGAACCGCACTGAGGAATACTGGCGTGCATATAAACTTATCCGAAATGAGACCACGGCCATCATAAAGCGCGAGAAGTGCAAGTGCTATAGCAAAATGTTGGATATCTCGCTACCAAATCATGTTTTGTGGCGCAACCTAAAAAACCTTCGTATACATGTTAGTGACAGTCCTGATTGTTCCCTTAGTCCTGAAGACCTTAATGATGCTTTTGTCAATCGTGTTACCCCATCTTGTGTTAATGCTTGCTTTACATCCTGGCTTTCATCTGTTGTGACTGCTTGTCAAGTCTTTGAGTTTAAAGCTGTGTCAGAAGTTGAAGTGGCAATTTGTATTAATAAAATAAGGTCCAATGCAATTGGGGCGGACAGCTTACCAATTAAATTTGTAAAAATAATTGCACCGTACATTCTGCCTACTCTCACCCATGTCATCAATCATAGTATCACAACTTCATGTTTCCCTGATACATGGAAGGTCGGCACGGTGCAACCAATTGCTAAAAACAAGTCTGCGTGTAGTCCCAGTGATTTTCGACCAATAAGCATTTTACCCGCACTCTCCAAAGTCTTCGAGACATTGATGTCTGAACAAGTTCATGACCATATTGATAAATTTAGCCTGCTGTGTCCGTTCCAGTCAGGCTTCAGAGCAAAGCATAGCTGTTCCACGGCTATCTTAAAAATTTTAGATGACATAAGAGTACCATTTGACAAAAACCAATGGACTTTATTATGCCTACTTGACTTCTCTAAAGCTTTTGACTCTGTGAACCATGACTTACTTTGCATGAAGTTAAAATACTATTTTGGTTTTGGGGATTCCGCAACGCGTCTCATGCGGAGCTACTTGGCGGGTAGAACCCAGTGTGTTAAAGTTGGCTCGAAAACTTCTGGTCTAAAACCAC